CGGATTAGTATGTCTGGATTGATCAGCTCTCTGTTGAGGTTGTCTTATTTTTCCATTATTCTCTTTGCTACGTTTTTCATTTTGTATTTACTGATTGTTTGTGGCTCAGTATTGCTCATCTTTTACGCGGCGAACTTATCATCTCCTGTAGTCACTGAGGGACATTTCGAAAATGGACTTGTGTGTCTGGGAAGTTAAATCACATTTAAATTGCACCTGCGCTCTCAAAACAAAACGATCTGATGAATTTCGTTGGGCTTTCTTCCTTCGTAACCGTTCTTTCTTGTAAAAAGTCACTGGTGTCCGTATGTGGGTGAAAAAAAAAGCCACTCAGGTGTCCAACCTGAAGCTCTCGAAGTTATCGAGTCTTGCTTGTTCAGCTCAGTTTTGCCCGTTTTTCTGTGTTTGCTGCTCTTCCGCAGTTTTACCAAGTACACGCATGTCCTCGCAGTCGGCGGGTTTCTGGCTGTGCTCGTCAAGACCAAAGCATCTGCCTTTCAAGTAGCAAAGAGTGAAAGTCTCGTGTCTTTTGAAATACAACGACTGCGGAGCCTGGTTTCCCAGTGAGCGACAAACCCGGAATGTGACGAATTGGGTAAGGGTTGGCGATTGAACGGCCTGCAGAGTAAGTGAAGAAGGGACCAGCGTTGATAAGTTGTGCTGCTCTGTCATATTTTGCGGATTTGTCGAATACGGGCTATTGCCTTTGCGTTTTTGCTGTTTCTTTAACCCACTGTGCTTTTCCTTTGTGTGTTTTTTGGATTGCCGCGCTTTTTTGTGATCTCACTTCCAATCTTCTTTCCTTTTCATTGTGTCGCTTTTTTTGGTTTTGTTTTGTATTCACATTAAACAGCGTTGTCATAGGCTCGCTCTCCCAGTTCGTCAATCACTGAAAAATAATAGGCCAACGTACGGACTGCCTGTGCGAAGATGCGTTTTTTTCATAGTTCCCCGCAATTTTTATCGCTACCAGCACCGGTTTTCCCGGCAAATCCTTCTGGCTAAACAGATCAAGACTGACTGCCAGAAGTGTTAGGAAGCACCCCCTTAGAATTTCAGCTTTCTAGCTTTTCAGGTTACCGAGATAGCAAATTACCCGAAAAAAAACTTTCGCGAGCCCGTGCGTGGGCACCATGCATACCTGGTGTCTGGGTTTGAAGCTTATTAAGAATTGCGTGGACGGCGAACATCCCCTTATAATTTCAGCCTCCAAACTTTTCAGTTCCCCGACTTAGCGACTTACCCGAAAAAAACTTGGCGGACCCGTACGCGGGTGCCACGCATACCCGGTGTCTGGGCTTGAGACCTTTAACACCTACGTGGACGGGGAAAATTTTCTCAAAGTTACAGTCTTCTAGCTTCTCAGGTTCCCGAGCTAGCAACTTACCCGGAAAAAACTTTCACGGCCCCGTAAGTGGGTACCATGCATACCCGGGAGCTGGTTTTGAGTTCATTGATACCTGCGTGGACGGGGAACGTTTTTAAATTTCAGCTTTCCAACTTCTCTGGCTTCCAAGTTAGCGGCTTGCTCGTAAAAAACTTTGGTGGGCCCGTACTTGGGTAACACGCGGGTAAGAGCGCCCATTTTGAAGATGAGGGCCCGTACATGCATGTAGATTAAGTTCCCGAAATTTTAACCCCGTAGCTTTTGTAGTTTTCGAGATGAAAAATCGGCACAGAAGAACACACAGACACACACACACAACTCCTCGTCGATATGCGTTTTCTGCATTGCATAACTGCAAAAAACGTATAAAAAGCGAGGTTGAGGAAGACGACCCTGCAGCACTGGACCGACCGATCGAGGGCAGTGTGTCCACCGGGGAATTCGGCATCAACGAACAACTATGTGCTGTCTATACTCATCGTGTGCATCGCTTGGCCGTAAATTTCAAGACTTAAGCAAGCAGCCAATTAACTGCATAAGACAGGACGTGCCTGTGTTAGGCAATTATAAAAACTCGATTCGACTCGGCCGATGACCTGTGGTGCTTAGGCCTTCCAACGCGTTGTTCAATCATCTTTGCCAACGGTGTTTCGCGGCACCGCTTGTTGGAACTTTGTCAGACGCGCTGGGTAGCACTGACCATGGGTGGTGTGGCAGGGGTGGGGGTGATGGGTAGGAGGATTAGACGTGGTTGGGGACGTTGTTTAGCGGTTGTCCAGGTACAGCTCGGGGGGCGAGATTGAGGCCAGGACAATGGGGAGGAATAAAGTTGCTGGTCAGGAGTTCAGAACGATAAACGGTGACAGTCGTTGGAGGTGGTGGGTGCCCCGATGCGGCTCTGGAGGCAGGGATCGGGGACAGGATACAGGAGGGGAAGAAGGGTACTAATCAGGAGTTCGAAGCAAGAACTGCAGATAGCAGTAAAGAGGAAAATAAACCAACACGGTGCTGCAAAGAAAAGTAAATTAAAACAAACCTGATTTTGTGAATAAAAGGGAAAAAGCAAAATCTAAGAACTGGAGCCTGTAACCAAAAGCAAACAAAAACTGAGCTTATGCAAGTAGGGTTTGTCTTACAAAAACCCGCCTTCAGCAAGCGGTCCCCGCATTTATGAGGTTTATGCTTAGGGGGAACTGAGGTCATATAAGTTCGATATCATTTCCTGAAACATGCTTAGGTGAAGCCGAGGGCAAATAAATCAGATTGGATTCACCCATAAATTGCAGACAATTCCACAGGGTTGATTCTAGCAGTCTGCAACTGCACATAACAATTATACCTCTACTTTTCTCCCTTCGAAATCTCACAGAACTGAAGGTCGACTTCATCCCCGTGCGTCCAGACTACCCTGCTCTTGCTTCATGGATCTTATTAGCTCTCAGCTTTACTTAAGCATCAGTTTCATAAATAAGGAATCCTAATAATGGGCTTTCGTGGGATTGCTTTACCTAAGCATCAGCTTCGCAAATAAGAAAATTCTCTAGTGATGACGGGTTTTTACGGAACAGACTTACCTAAGCATCAGTTTCATAAAAAGGGAAGCCCCCTACTGATAGCGGGTTTTTATGGATCAGTTCCCACTAGCAAAACCTCAGTTTCTTTTGCTTTTATTCATAAAGACGGATTTGCCTTAATTTACTTTTATTTTTGTGCGCGGTATCGTCTTTTTACTGCTATTTCCAGTTTTTGCCTCGAGTTCCTGACTTGCATCCTCGTTCCCCTTCTCTACCGTGTTCCAAATCCTACTAACAAACAAGATACAGACCCCCTCCCCATCCCTACTATAAAATCACTATTCAGACAAATAGTATTTGCCTCCCCCTACTCCAGGCATCTACGGCAGAAACCAGGAGCACACTTCCTCATTCTTCCCGTCCTTCACCGCTCCCCCCTTCGCTCCAAACGTACGTTACTTAGTCAATCGGTAAAGGATCTATGCCATTTAGTCCTTACATCCACCTATCCTAGCCCCCCTCTCCTGCCTCGAACGAAACCTGCCACATACCACCCCTACTTCCGCCTACCACATTTAAATTGCCGCTATCCGCCATGGGATAGTCACACCTGCCCTCAGGAGTAAAAGTTTTTTGCAGTTCGTGTGTGGGACGAACCGAGCCGAGTTTTTGTAATTGCCCCAGTGTTATCTGTCCCTACGATGTTTGGGTGACCAGTGCGTCTTCGAACAAAGCAGACTGAGAAGGGTAACACATCTGATACCAGTTTTACGCAATACCACGGTGAGTTGCCATATGGACACGATAAACAAAAGGACAACACAAAAGATCTTTTAGCAGTGCACAGCGAAACTGTTCTGCCATATTATGGCAGGGAATGCATTTCCAAAAATCCCGCACCTTAGCAAAGCTGAGGTATTGTTGGGAATCACACTCCCAGGTGTACAAAAAAAAAAAAAAGACATCTCCAAATCTTGAATTACTCAAGAAGTATGCCTCAGTATAAAACACAGGACCTGTCGTATTCTGCGGCTTGGCAAAAATAAGTGTTACAGTACATCGGTACAAACGAAATACCATCTATGATCCACCAAAATATAGATCACCGAAACACATCTTCAGGAAAGCACGACGGCACTTAAGAATAGTTGAAACAGCAAAGGGAAACTGCATGCAAAAATACCGAACAGAAGCCGGCCACGTGTGCTTGGGGTTTGATAAGCGAATGAAGGAGACTCTCAATTACTGCCTCCCACAAAACGCAGCACCAGAGTGGCGTGGTACTCGTGTGAAAATAACCATTTGGAAGAACTCCGAGGAAGTGCTGCAGGTACAACAGGTACTCCTGATATTACTCTAAAGTTGACGGTAGGCACCAGTTGGAGGAATACAGTTTAGGATCGAAGGGCCCAATACAGCTTCATCTAGCGCGTGGGAGCATCCATGAGATTTCATACTACATCCTAAGCTGTTTTGGTGTTCCCGGTAATGCTCTGACGTAACCCTCGGGTAAATCAGCAAAAAGCTGGAAGGCAAAAAATGGCGATGCACATGTGACCGAAGAAAACAATTGCAGGAATACACAAAGAAAAACAAACGATGCAACTCAGACACCTTTCTTTTTCGTCCACTTACGTACATTGCGACCTTGTCATATTTGTGTGTTTGCTAACAGCACTAGCAGACGCTTCATATGACCATTTTTAAGCAGAACGACAAATTTTTCACGTTTTCTGGATTTCAAACAATTTCACATCTGTATCGTACCAGATTGGAGGATCAACATTCCTGAAACATTACAGTTAATAAAAGAATCGCAAATCATTTCTGAAGAAAGGCTAATCGAAGCTAATCGAAGACACAAAACAGCTAATCGAAGACACAAACCTAGTTTGAAACACATTTCTCAACAAAACAACTTTTTTTACATTCCGAAAGCTCTTAACACAGACTACGGATATCGGCCTGAAAATCAACGATACGGAATTGCGGGTGTTCCAAAATATCGGTACTCTCACGGCCAAACTATAAAGCAGCCTGGTACAAATTGATTTTAGATTTAACGAGGCCAAGTACTGGATAACAGCCGCAGGAAAATGCATTTCAAAAAGCAGTGAAATGAAGCAAATTTTATATCATCGACGCTCTTCGGTCATATAAAAAGCAGTTCGCATCAGGCAGCATTTTGCATGGAACTGCCCACCGGACATTTGTTGTTAATATTCACTTTTCTACAATTTGGTGCGTGCAAAATCAGTCGTAATGTGGTCTGATTCCCGAGCTGCGGAACTTTCCACCAAAAATCCCACATGCCCATGCGTGAAACACATGTGTTCGCAACAGCTGCACAGTGAACAGATCTTTCAATTGTTTTAGCTTTCTGTTTTGCCTAGCTTCCGAACTAAAAATCTACCGCGTAAAACTTCACGTGTCCGCACATGAGATATAAGCGCACATGAAAACTGAGTTTGAAGTCCCAGGGTTGTACGCTGAGAGGAATCATCATAATAAATTTCCAGCTTCCTATCTTGTTGGTTCCCCAGGCAGAAGATTTCGCGCT